AAGCTATGATTCTAAGTAGTTATTTTTTTTTAAGGTCATGAAGACTTTCATAATTTTATTCTATAAGACCTAGCCACACCTCCTATGATTTCAAAGGAGAAGAGTCATAAATAAAATATATATATTGAAGCTATTAAATGTTTTTAAAATTTGGACTTTGATGGAATTCCCTTCCCCCTACCCCATGAAGCGCCAATGTGGATAAGGTCCAGCACTTGGGGCAGGGCTCTGGGGAAAGGCAGCTGCTGATTAGAGAGCTGACTTCTTATCATAACTACAGGAGACACTTTATGACATTGTTTTTTCCTCTACTCTATTATCCCCGGTTCTTCCCTTCTTCAATGGCTAATTAGGGGCTTTGGAAGATTTTAGGATCATAGAATCTGGCTTGGTTTAGTCCAGCTAGGCCTGGGCCTGTCTAGTCCAACACCCCAGTTTACAGATAGGGAACTGATCATCATTGTAAACAGTAATTCTGATGCCAAAAGAAAATAGCAAAAAACGTACCTGGGGCAAGTAGTACAGATCAACTTTTGAAGAAAAATTCAGTTGATTGGGAATGGAGGGTGGGGAAGAAAGAGAGAAGCCTCATATTAGGACACCAGGTCCTGAGGGCCAGAGACTCTTGAACACAGGGAACAATGGATTTGAGGAGATAGAAGTTAAAGAGAGAGGAAGTACATCTTCTAGAACCTTTCTGGGTTTAACTATTATTGCTAATTAGGTGCTATGTACAATTGTTTCTGCCTCCTGGAAAGAGTACTAACATGTTTATAGTGTGTGTCAATTGCTGAAACTTCCCAGAGCAAAATGTTGTTCCTGGCCCACACTATTATCCAATTAAACTGTAATCTCTTTGAGGGCAGGGACTGTGACTTTGGTATTTTCTCTTCAGCACTTAGCACAGTGCCTGGCACATGATAAATACTTAATTTTTTTTTTTCATTCACACACTAAGATAGGAGATAAGGACCAACAGGGGTGGGGAACCTGTGGCCTTGAGGCCACATATGGCAGGCTAGGTCCTCAAGTGAGGTCCTTTGATTGAATCTAAACTTCACAAGAGCAAATCCCCTTAATTAACCTGAAGGCTGCAGTTTCCCACCCCCGGAGCAGATCTAAGTATAAGGAACTACCAAAGTGAGCCAACTCGAACCAATGCTGGTCAGCACCTTCTCTCTGTTTGTGGCTCCGAGTGCTGAGGTGTCTGTGTTTTGCTCAGGGTCATAGTCAGTTCTGTTAAAGGCAATTGTTGAATCCAGATTCTCTTAGCTTAGAGGCTGGCTCTCTGTTCACTCTGGTACCACTCCCTGTCCTCAGTCATTGGCACATTCAAGTATCAGTATTCTGGGGGAGAAGCCTTGCTTCCCTCTCCCGTTTAATGGCTCTGAAACTGAATCCCAAAGAGATGAAACAACATGCCCAAGATTATTGCCAGTAAAGAGCAGAATTTAGATTCAAATCCAGATCCTCTGAGTTCAAATCTAAGGTTCTTTTCACTGTACCATGTTGTCTCTGTTTAGAAAGATATTAAAAACAAGTGTCACTATGAACAACAATAATAGGTGAATGTATGGTTTGCATCAATTACCTCATTTGGTTCTCATGATGACACTATGAGGTAGGTTTTACAGACATTATTATCCCAGTTACAGATAAGGAAACTGAGGCTGAGAGGTAAAGTGACTACAGGTGCTGTGTTCTCTCCATTGCACCACTCGGCTGCCTCTTAATGGCATGTGTTTATCTTGCTGAAATTGTGCTGGAATTATGATTCCAAAAAAACTAAAATCCAACTTAAGTGTTACATTGACCAAAAAAAAAAAAAAAAGCACAGAGGCCAGCTCCTGTCCCAGGTATAGTGGACTGTTATGATCACCCGAAACCTTCCTATACTGTGTCTATGCCCAAAGCATCTGAAGTCTTTCCTTCTCAGCACTTTGGGGGGAAAAAAGCCTAATTGGTCGTGATTTGCCTCTGGTTTGTGTTGATTTAGTCTCTCCTTGGTATTTTAGTTTCTTAGCACTACAGATTGAAGATTTGGCCCTAGAAAGGATGTTGGAGATCATGTTGTTGAATTCCTTCATTTTACAGATGAGGAAGCTGAGGCCCAGAGGAGCACAAGCATGGATGGACATTTATGAAGCACCTACTATGTGCTAACAAGCAATGGAGATACAAAGAAAGGCAAAAACAGTGTCTGTCCTCAAGGACCTCACATTCTAACAGGGGAGACAACATGCAAAGAATTAGTTACCAACAAGATCTGTACGGGATAAGTTGGATTTGATTTCAGAGGAAAGGCATTAGCATGAAGGGGAATGAGAAAAGTCTTTTTGCAGAAGTTGGGACTTTGCTGATTCTTGAAAGGCAAGTCAGGAAAGTCAGGAGAGAGAGATGAGGAGGGAGAGAAGTCCAGACCATGGGGACTTTTAATGAAAATGCCTGGACTATGGAAATGGAATGTCTTATGGGAGGGACCCATGGAGGCCAGTGTCATTGGACTGCAGATTAAGGGCTGGGTTATAAAGGACTTTCAAAACCAAATAACAATTTCATATTTGATACTAGAGATAATAGGGAACCACTAGAGTTTATTAAATAAAGGTGGTGGTGACAAGGCCAGATTTGAACTTTAGGAAGGGCAATTGGACAGCTGACTGGAGGCTAGATGGCTGGAAGTGGGAAGGGACTTGAGGCAGGAAGACCACCAGAAACTATGGCTTTCTGTACAGGTGAGAGGTGGTGAGGGCCTGTACCAGGCTAATGGCAGTATCAGTAAGTCACCTAGTAAGTGGCAGAGTTGGAATTCGAACACAAGTCCTATGACTTAAAATCCAGTGCCCTTCCAGTAGTGAATGATGTTATTTTCACAGAACTTCAGAATTGGGAGCACCTTAGTGGCCAGTCATTCCAGTTCTTGGCTGAACAAGAGTCCCCATTACCACCTGACAAGTGGTCATTGAACCTTTTCTTGGAGACCTACTCCTTCCCGAGGCACTCCATTCCATTTCTGGATAGTTCTAATTGTTAGCACACTAAGTCCAAATTTACTCCATTTGTAACTTCTACCCTAATAGTAACAGTTAGCATTTATATTGCTTTAAGGTTTGCAAAGCACTTTAACAAATACTGTGTCACTGATCTTCCTAACAATCACTTTACAGATGAGGAGATGGAGGCAGAGATTAAATGACTTATCCAGGGTCACACAGCTAACAAATGCCCAAGGAGGTCGTCTTGACTTCCAGTACAGTGCTCTAACCACTGGGTCAGCCAAGCTGTGCTACCCTACAGAAGGTAGGCTTCTGCCTCTGGGACCAAAGAGGCAAACCCAAACCCTCTTCAACACGACAGCCTTTCAGATGCTTGAAGGTAGCTATCTTCTCTAGTCTAATCATCACTAGTTCCTTCAGCCTATCCTCCTATTGCATGGCCTTGAGGCCATTTACCCTCTGGTTGCCCTCCTCTGGCCTTTCTTCATCTTATCAATGTCCTTTCTGAAATGTGGTGGGATAATATAATAGGCACAGTTTGTTCATGGAAAAAGTCTGTTTCTGCTAAATCTTTTCCTCTGTGTCCCACATGCATCCTGCTTGAAGGACTCCCAACTGTAAGCTTTAAAGCTTGGGAGACTTTAGGAAACTATTGTTTAGGAAGGAATAAAGATAGGAGAGGTGAAAACAGAGGCAGCAAGGTCAACAGGAAAGAGTATTGTGTTTGGGATCTGATGATCTGCGTTTTGGTCTCTTTCCTTACTATCCTTGTGAATTTGAACTAATAGAGCACCTCAGGGTTCTGTGCCTCAGTTTCCTAACTGGTAAAATTCACTGAGGTCCTCTCCAATTCAAGTGAATAAGCACTTACTGGGCAAGGCATAGTGCTACGGTGTTAGCAAGAAGACAAAAATGAAAACAATCTTTGCCCTTAACAGCTCATGTTCTCTTGGGAGGAAACAATTTGTACATAGATAAGTAAATACAAAAATTTATACAAAACAACTACAAAGTAATTTTGGTGTTTGGTGAAGGAATAACAAAGGAGGAGGAGAGGAATCAGGAAAGATGTCATCCATGGCTCTTGAGTTGAACTTTTGAGTGTAATTAGGAATTGCAAGAGATGGAGGTTTAAAGGGATGGATAAGATCTCTACAAAGATCAGTGGGAAGGATGCTCTTTCCTTCTACAGATGAAGAGATGTTAGAAAGAGGGGTGAGGTTTTTTGGGGAAGATAATGAATTCTTTTGGAGATGTTGAGTTTAAGATGTCTAAGGGATGTTCAAAACGTCCATCTCCATCACTGCAGCTTAGGAGTGGGAAAGGACTGAGGGATGCTATAGATTTGGCCAGCTATAATTCTATGACTTGGGTTCGAATTTGAGGTGCTGTTTACTAGTCCTGACCTTGGGCAAGAGCTCGATTTAATCCCTTTGGGTCTCAGTTTCTCCCTCAGTAAAGTGGGGGTTGGGCCAGATGACTTCTAAGGTCCCTAACTCTTGTGATCTCAAGGGAGGGGCAATGAAGATAAGACAGTGCTTGAGGAGTGAAGAAGGTTGGAAAGGTAGAGAGGATGAAGGTTATGATCTGAAGCCAGGAGACTTGGGTTCGAATCCCGGCTTGAGAAAGTCCCTTCATAGAATCACAGATTTAGAGCCTAACATTAACCTCCCGCCTTGTTTTAATTTTTATTTTGAGCTTGCATTCGCTGTTTTGTGAACCTTCGTAGGATCATAGTATTGAGGCCGTGGAATTCAACGCCATCGCTTTACAGATGAGGAAACTGAGGACCGTAACTGTCAGGAGCTGTTTCCTATCTGCCTGCCAGCTGCAACCTCGAAAGAGCCTCGCAAATGAGCCCGAAATCTAGGAAACACCCAACGGTCACTAAACTCTGGGTCCCGCACACTCGGTCCGTCTCTCCCCACCCGGCCCCTCCCGCCGGCTCGGCCCTCGACGTCACTTCCGGCGGGGAGACAAAATGGCGTCCCGAGAGTCCCGGGCCCTGAGGCGTGTGGAGCGGCAGCGGCGGCTGCGCCTGCTCTGGGATCCTTAGAGCCGCGGGTGGCGGCGAAGGCGGCGGGCACAGGTAAGCGGCTCGGCCCGGGCCCGCCGAGGGCAGCGACGGCTGGGACTGGCGGAGGGAGGGGGCGTACGTGCGAGGGGCAGCCCGGCCGGGGAGCGACGACGACGACGGCGGCGCCGCTGCCGCCCCCGCCCCCTCCGTCCGTCCGTCAGTCCGTCCGTCCGTTTATCCGTCAGCTCGTCTGGGTGGGGAGCGGAGGGCGCGGGGGAGGGGCCGCGTGAGGACGGAGGGGGTGGGAGGCAGGTGACTGCGGGCGGGAGGGGGGGTGAGGCGGGGAGGAGGAGGAGGGGGCAGCGCCGGGGTGGGGGCGCGCGCCCGCTCGGGGACCTTTCTCTCGCCAGCCAACTTAGCGCGAGCGCCAGCCTGCCCGCCTGCCGGGCCCCCGCGTGCACCTGCCCGGCCGCTGCAGCCGCACGCGCTGAGCGCGCTCCCAGCCCCGGGCTCTCTGAGCGCAATAAATGAGACACCCCCCCCCACCCCTGGCTCTGCGCGCGGGCGGGCACGCACACGGGCACAGGCCCGCACAGATACATGCACACAAACACAGATAATCATGGATTTCCTTTCCTGCAGGTTCATGTTGAATAGGGATTTTTGTTTGTTTTAATACCATTAGTGTGCCCTCTCCTTGTTTTTGAATTTTTATTTTGAGTTTGCATTTACTGTTTTGTGTTGAAGTTTTTTATTGTCCAAGTTTGATAGGTAGCACGATGTAGTGGAAAGAATTTTGGATTTTGGGTCAGAGGACCTAGTCGGAAATTCTTACTCTGATACTACACCTCTGTGATCGTGTACAAACCGTATAACCTTTCTGGGCCTCAGTTTCCTCACCTGTAAAATGAGAAGGTGGATCTCTCTGTGGTCCACCTTCAGGTTCTAAAGTCAGTTATCCTGTTCCTGGAAGTTGGTGTCATGCATATTCAGTGTTTCCATAACAATAATTTTGATGGTCCCCTGATATGCGATAGCTTTGCAACAGCTTGTCATTATGCCTAAACATATTGTTGTTAAATAAACTAGTTAATGACAGTTGAATAAGATCATTTTGCTTCCCACATAGCTTCATATAAACAGCTTTGTGAAAGTAGGCTGCTTTAGATCAAGCAGTTCCACAATAATTAAACTTGACAGACATCTAGTGTGTGCAGAGCCTTGGTTGTGTGTGAGAGCCTTCTTGTGGCTCTCAGCCTCAGGATGGTGGTGATGGATGACATATCCAGATAGGGAATGGGAAACTAGATCGGGTAGGAGATATAGCAGGGGACATGGAGTCAGGAAATCAGATTCCTGCCTTAGACACTATGAGCAAGGGGACCCTGGGCTAGTCACTTAACCTGCTCCAGTTTTCTCATTTGGAAAATGGGGCTTATAATAGGACCTACCTTCTGGCCTAGTTTTGAGCATCAAATGAGTTAGCATTTGTAAAGAGCTTTGCCAACTTTGATTGTTATTAATAATGTAAGACAAATTAGTAATAGTTTCTGCAAATTACTCAGGACCTTTTTCCAAGGCATAAGATGGACGTTGTTGGTTTCTCCATTTACACCTGTTGTTTTGGGTCTTTGAGACTTTAGGACATATATGCCTGCTCCATGCACACATGTATTTACAAACAGCCTAAACTCTAAGATGATTTTATAGGGGAAAGGAAGGTTGATGAAACCACTTCTTTTTTTTTTTTTTTTTTTTGGTGAGGCATTTGGGGTTAAGTGACTTGCCCAGGGTCACACAGCTAGTAAGTGTCACGTGTCTGAGGTCAGCTTTGAACTCAGGTCCTTCTGATTCCAACTCTGGAGCTCTATCCACTGTGCCACCTAGCTGCCCCAAGCCACTTCTTTTGAAATGCCTTTTCTGCAGATTACTTGTTTAAAAGACAAATAAAAAAACGTTAAGCAATTAGTTGTTTTCCTTGATTCTATTTTCCTTAGAGTTTGTAATTAATTTTAACTTGAGTTGTTGTATTTGAGTTCTAGTCATAGAGAAATGTATATTCTCTTTGTGAAAATGTTCAGAAGTTAAGGAAGAGGAATTGAGAGCCATGATCTATTATTTCCATGTTAACTAAAGCTTAGTTCCTCAAAGTTTTCACAGAAGTACTTGTATCCCTCTTTTTACTCAGTCCTGTTACAAGTAATCTTAGGTTTTGAAAAAGTTTTCTTTTTGAGAAAATTGCCTGTGTATATGTTGATATAATATATTTGGTAAGTCTTTTTTTTTTCTTAAAAACTTCAAATTCAGGAAATTCAAATTTTGGATTTTCTGGATTATGATCCATAAAATTCTTTCCTCCCATGTTTCAGTTTTTTTTTGTGTATAATTTTTGCTTGCTTTTGGCTTTACTAAGATGTTTAGTTTAGTTTTTTTTTTTTAAACCATGTGCCACTATTTCAGGGCTTTTTCAGAATATCTTGTGGAGAGAGGTCCTGGGGATGAAAGGTTTGCTTAAACAGGTTTCTTAATGAATTTTAAAATAAAGCATTCCTTTATACCTTAATATACACAAAATTTAGATGGTTTTCTAGAATTTAAGCATATATTTTCTGCCATTGTAGTTGGAATAAATAACCTTCAGTTTCAAGTTGTGTTGTTAATCCTTCTCTAGGCATGTACAAGAACTACACAGATAACAGTGATTAGTAGTGGTTTTGTTGGGTGAAGTGCCTTATTCCCAAGTTAGTTTTTTTTTTCTAATATTATTCTATTTTAAGCCTTTATAGTTATTGAATCATTTAGGTTGTGATTTGCTGCCTTCTTGTTTGTGTATGTTTGTAAGGCTTGCATTCAAACTATTTTTAATTCTGAACAAAGAAAATTGCATACTGTCATTTTTTGCATCCATAAGATCAGAAGTTTAGAGTTACAGGTGGCCTTGGAGATCTCTTGTTCACTGTCCTTTTACAGATAAGAAAAATCAGGCATGTGGGGATGAAGTGACTTGCCCAAGGTCAGATAGTCATTAGCACAGCTAGGATTGGGACTGAGGTGCTGGACTTCACATTCAACCCAGTTGTTACAATGCATCACACTGCTAGAGTGGAAACAAAAACAGAGTCCTCCAAGTAAGTGAGCATGTGCTGAGGCACTTAGCTATTTGGAATTTTCCACTTTTAAAGCTTTGATATAAAGGTCTGAGATAACGTTCTGTCATTCTCTTGTAGAAATTAGAATTGTATGGTTAAATGCCCGTGTATTACCCAAAATATTTATGTCTGAGTCTGATAGCTGTGCAGTACATTTTTTAAAAAGTTTTTATGGTCCTCAGTTTCCTCATCTGTCAAGAGAGGGGATTGGATTGATCTCCATGAATTTTTACAGCTCTATGATTTTGCTAGTGTCAGATTGAAGTTTGGACTCTAAGGCTGGATCGGTGAGGGAGCCTTTTAGTGTTCATTTTCTGAAGACCTTTTAGGATTTTCTTACTTGTCTTATGGTTTGTGCAGTCCTTTCTGAAGACGGGACATGAACTACATGCCCCCTCGAAGTCTCTTTATGCTCTTTGATTTTATGATTTTGTAAATTGTTCTTTTTTTTTGGCATTTTGCTCTGGAAGCCACCCTTACTCATTTTGGAGCCAGGGAGTTTTTATGAAAGTAAATTTGACTATCAGTATCCTCAGTGTTAATTGACCTATTACCACGTGACCATCAAATTTGCTTACCTTTCCAGGCTTAATTACACATGACCCCTCTTAGTAGTCTTTGATCCAGCCATTTATTTCCATCTTCAGCTTCTGTGACTTTATGTAGTCTGTCCCTCATGCCTAGGATAGGCATTTCTGTCTTTTAGAATCTTTGTTCTTCCTTCAAAGCACAGCACAAGCTCCACTTCCTATGTAAGGCATTTCCTGACAACTCTTGACAAAAATTACCTTATTTATGTTGTCCATACTTTCCACTTACTTATATGTGGACACCCCCCTACCCCCACCCCATTAGAATGTAATCTTCTGAGGACAAGTAGTATTTCATTTCTTTTTCTTTATATTGCCCCAACCCCCACTCTTCAGCGCTGTGTCTGGCACATAATAGGTGTTCAATAAATTGATTTGATTTAAAAAGATGCTTAGTGAATAATATACTTGAGGTCGTTATACAGGGCAGCATAAAAACAAATGTTCCTTTCCTTAGAAACTAAAATACTTTGCTGGAGATATATGTGTATCTCCAGCAAAGAAAGTATTGTGTGTGTATGTATCTCTAGCAGTGTATTTCAAATTACCCTTATTGGAAAATTCGAAATACCTAACCATCTCAGCACATGCTCAGTGTGCTTGCTTTGATGGTTTTGTTTTTGTTTCCATTTTAGCAGTGTGTTTGTGTGTGTATCTACATACACACACACACTTCTCAGCACTATGTACTTGAAATATACACAGTGTCCTAAGTGAGATTCTTGTTTGGAAGTATATTTTGGAAGTCAGTAAAATGCAATTTATATGAACTTCTCTATAATAAGACCGACTTAAGCTTTTTTGATGGTGACGGTCCCTGATATTTTCATAAACATTAAGTAGCCAAAAGCTATTATACAAAAAATCATGATAAAATTTGCTTTAATGTATGGAATTATATATATTGCAATCTATGATGTCTGTACACTTAATTGTAATGTGAAACATGAGGAAATTACTATATTTGAGTTTGCTGAGATTTGACTATAATTGTGTAGATTCTTGTTTCAAGTATAGTGAATGCCTTTTGCATAGTGTTTAGAGCGGTCTTTTGTGACAGTAAAGTTGCTTAGTTGGTCATACTCTGGACTAGATACACTTATTCATCTCTGTTACTAACTTGTTGGAGGACATTAACCTGCCTTTGGCTCAGTTCCCATAGTTTGGCAAATTTAAGATTTTTTTTTTTAAATTTTCTGCACCCATGATTTTATTAAATATGTAGGGAACTCTCAGTGTAGAAACTCCCTCTACCAAAGCCTGGCAGTGGCTTCTCTCTAAGTTCTAATCTTCCTTAGAAATTATCTCTTTTCTTGAATGCTGAGAGAGCAAG